TTTTGGTAATGTATTGTATATTATTATTATTTTGAATCCTGCTGAAATAGTTACTGTGCTTTCTGAATGTGATTGTTGCTGCAAACTCTGACCAGCCATGTCAGCTTCAGCACTTATTGCAGCCTGATTCATGACAGCTGATTGGCGGGTGGATTGGACTGCCGGAATACCCCCAATCAGCTGTTCCAAGCTGCAGGGATTGCCACAGACCATCGCTACCTCCATGCCTTACGTTTTTGGCCTCTGGTGGGGGTGGGTGGGGCTACATTCGGGGCATAAGACACACCCAAATTTTCACACTCTTTTGGGAGGGGAATGGTGCGTCTTATACTCCGAAAAATACGGTAAACATTTTATCTGTATGCTGCATCTGCTAATACTGTTCTCAAACTCACCAAACGGCTCTGGTGTGTATCCATCTGAGTTCTGAGCTGTGAATCTCCGACCAGCCTAGGAAAGTCAGAGCAGAGTTTACACATTGGATAAATTCAGGGCAGAAAATATGCATCCACTCAGTTGTGCCCTAACTCTGCAAATAAAAAGGGACAAAGAGATCCTAAAGCTAGCCAGGGAATTGCGTGTCTGAATTGGGGGTTTAAATCCTGCTCCAATTTTATCTTTTTTGGCATCCTTTCCAATATTTTCCATAAAATGACTTCAATAGGATTGTCCTGGCAACTGGTGGGTATGGGGCAGAGATGAGTACCTACCAGTTCGGACCGGTTCAGCTGAGTACCGCCCACGCCACCCGAAATGGTTCTATTGGCAGCACAGTAGGTGCTGCCATCTTGTTTCTGCATGCACAGAAGCAATTTTTTCACTACTGCATTAAGTGTCCGTGCGCTCCCGATGCGCACGCCCGAAGCGCATCCCTGAGCAAACTGGCAGTAAAAGAAGCAGGAACCCACCCCTGGTATGGGGCTCATCAGAATAGCAGTCCACTAACAATATCTTGCTCGCTCACTCCCCCACCCCACCCTGTGTCAACTTCTAAACAGATTGGGCCTTTTGCATTTTCTCCGTTTCTCAACTTGACACACTTTGAGGGGAGGATATTATCTTGTGGGAACCAAGGTCATCCTAAGAGGTGCTGGCCAAAGACTGGAAGAGTTTACCAAGGAAACACCAGAACACATCATTGGACAATGTGACCTGTGACAAGGAGGGAGGTGGGCATCTAATCTTTAACTATACTGAAAGCGCAGGAAATAGCCAGAGCTGGTTTGTTTTCAATTGTGCCAAAATGATGTACTAAATAAAGCAGTCCTTTGAGTTTATCTATCTATCTATCTATCTATCTATCTATCTATCTATCTATCTATCTATCTATCTATCTATCTATCTATCT